GGCCTGTTGTGTGAATATTCTGGGCATGAACTGAATCCATCTTTCCATACATCACTTTGTTTTATTTCGTTTCAAATTGATGGCTGCCAGCTTATGAACACACCGACGCTGTTGTAGAATATTTAAGCGTCATGCAATTACAACGCTACGTGGTAATCAGCGCCGTTGCATCAAATTCTAGGGACACTAGTAGGGGGGATCGAGGTAAACAAGAACATTCTAACACGATATATTTCCAAAATTTGCAACACTTTTTTGTGGTTAACTACGTAGGTCCAAACTTTATACATTTTTGCAGACCGTGTAGAATTTGTGTTAATGTCGAAATTGCACATATGATTCACATACAGATTCCTATTTCATTTATTTAAACTGACATTAAAATAAAAGTAAAACGGAAATGTCGAAGTTCTGGTGTGCATATTTATTACTGCTGCCTACTAAAATATGGTTCTCTTGTCGTACTTATGGTAAAAATGTCTGTAATGTACAGAGTGGCCCCTTTAAGTCACAATTCATAATTGAAGATCTCGGAGTAACATGAAGATAATTCACACTTCATTAAGACGGAGAAAAACGGAGATAAATTTAAACATAATTGTTCTAAATCTACCCTCTGAGAATCAGAAATACGATAATATGGCAAATATTTGGCTTAACCAGTCTTTACATAAAAATAGGGAACTGTGGTGGGATTATTGCTTTTCTGTTACTCTCGATTTTCCTACTTCTTTGTTGATTCCACTTACTCCTACATTTTCAGTTTTTAAGTGTAATGTAATGTTCTGTTGAAAATGTAATTATAATAATTGGTGTCTGTAGAAAATAAAAACCCTTGAAAATATATTTTTTTATAATATTAACATTAAACGCAGACTATCCTATAGTTCCGTTTATTATATTACGTCCTATTATTAATATAAATTTCGTTTTACGTTATCTTTGTTGAGTCTTAAAATGATCATTTTGTATTCTAATAAGAAAGGATGACTGACAGGACTAAGTAGTACTTTACATTTGTTCATCAAATATGTTAACTTTAGCAAATCTCTTCGTAGCCTCGAGAAGTCCAGCCAGTCAAACGGGAGTTGTCAGTTCTTTGGCTAGCTGTAGGAATCCCCCGCCATAACATTAAAATCCTTTTCAACCACTGCTCATTTATGGAACGCGACTCACACATTTAAAACCATGGTATTATTATTTATAAATCTAAACATACGTTTGCCTTTACTGTATGAACAAAAGACAAAGGAGAGCACTCATAGTATGTCTGTTATAGAAATAAATGTGACCTTCTCTTGGCATTTCTAAATTATTAGTGGAGACATAAAACCTGGGTACAAAAAACAAGCTTACACACCACGGGTGGTCTCACCTACGCGGCAGACAAGCCAAGTACTAGCTAGCCACGCTTCGTCAGTATATCAGACCACTAATTATTTTAATAAGCAGGGAGGTAAGGAGAACGAATATGAAGAAGTTATCTGCAAGCCAAACTTTGCATGACACGCCCCAAATTGTAATTCATCTGTGTAGCGTGACATTTTGTTATAAGGCAGTGGAATCCGTTGTTACTGTTAGGGTTTAATTTTTACATAAAACCAAACGTGCACGGGTCAGGTTGCAATTACTGAGCAATAAACATAAATTTATGATGAATAGAATTACGAGATGTTCAATAGGAGGAAATGTTGAGGCACCAAAGAATAAAATAAACTTCCTGTCAAATATTAGCATAAGATACATTACCTTCCTCTCATATGCTAGTTTACGTAAGATTCAAAGAAAAAGGCAATCATTACTTATACAGACAGTATTTTGAGGAAAGTCTATCGAGGTTGAACCACTGGAATTTTTCTCGTATAGAGTAATTGGTAAATATAAAACTTATATAAAACACTTAGAAAGGAAAAGAAATATGATTCAAATTCTTATAATCGTATGATAAATTTAACATAAATGACCATGGTTAATGGAATCATTTAAAATTAATTCTACTTCCTCAAAACACATAGTTACAATTACACACAAGCTTTCAATTTTCCGGCGGCTACTTAAACGTAATCAGATACTGATTACACACAAGCTTTCAATTTTCCGGCAGCTACTTAAAAGTAATCAGATACTAGATAGCAAATGTTCCATTTTACAAATGCTGCTACCATTGGGAATCTTGCTGATGTGCTTCGAATATGGACGACAAAATGTTAAGAACAGCATAGTACGTAGCACAGATGACATATTTCATTGCTGTTCTAAGCGCAAATCGGTGTAAAAGCAGGAGAAAAAAGAAGATAAAGTAGAGTTGTTAACGGGATAATACAAAGGACAACAGGTTACGAGATGATACGAAAAAAATTGTTTACCGTTAAATTATAACGGGTCTTCTCAATTAGCAAAGTAATAATATCTATCGAATGAAAAATCAGTGGCATTCAAGTCCATAAATAACAGTGGTCGAATCAGCACGAATAAAAGTAACTTATAATATATATAATATAAATATAGAAGTTCGAAGCAGCATACCATTTCTAGAATAAAGAATGTTTAAGACAGGAGGATAAAAAGAGAATTGAAGACGTCTGTATTAATCTGATCAACAGAAGATACCATTAGTAACAGTAGTGAAGGTACAGTAGGCCTATACTTGGAATGGAAATTAACCATTAAGATGGAGGGACAAAATATGGCATCATGAACAGAAGTGTAACAGATCGATCTTTGTAAACCACTGGCCACCCGCAAGGTCAAGTGGTCAGCATGCGATTTGGTATTGAAAGAGTATCGGTTTCTGTTCCGCGACCCCATTAATAAACAAATCAAAATGTAGCTAAACGCTAACAGACTTTTATTTTGGGAATGCGGTTAAAACGTTACAAGGAATTTTAACTGTGTCTAGTTAACAACGACGTGAATCAGTGTCATTTTTGTAATCGTTTCTTATCACCCTCTTCCACACGCGAGCTACATGTAGTGGATAGTAAGTAGGCCACCTCGAGAACACAGTTAGACGAATTTAGTAACATTCTAGTATCAACAAATTTTAGGTCAATTTTTAACCACTCTCATGCATAATGTCTATAAAATTTGCCAGGAATCTGATAAGTCCTGTCGCTCCACCATGTTTGTCTGTCTGTCCGTCTACCTGTCTACATGTAACAGCTCGAGAATTGCTGGACGGATTTGTATATAATTTTATATTTGGAAATTTAGTAACATTCATCAGTACGTTCCAATTTTTATTAAAATCATATAATAGTAACTAGGTCTTTAGGCGAAGATTAACATGGTCCTTGCTCGCGTGGAGTGACTGGGTAGGGAATCGACTGGTGACATTGGCTACCACGATACGAAGCCTTCGGTTACCCTAGTTAAGATTGTTAAGACTTCAGACGTTTATGGAATCCCTTCTCGGGCATCCCCGTCAGCCACGCGACCATGTAAGGAATCCGTCAAGACGTCATCCCAACAAGACAGGCTCCAGATACTCCGCTCACGAGATAGTAACTAAATACTGACAAATCCGAAGTCACTAACGCCATTATCCTTGGCCAGATATCAAATTATATCCAATGCACCAGAAACTTTACGCCATGCGTTGTTAAATTAAATAAGGTTTTGAAATTATAATAATATATTTAATATAAATCGTACGATAACACGTAAATAAATAAAAATAATAATATGATAAAATACGAATTTAAATGTATAATTAAGTTGGCTACATTGTCATCTCCTTACCTATTAGCTCTTAATAAAGTAATGGTTAATCAACTATGAAAACAGAAAAGTTTAGAAGCGTAAATGAGAAGGAAGAAGGAAAGAAATTATAACAAACATAGCAGATTCCCTACCTAACTATTCTGCGACCATCGCGTGTCATCGGTTTAAGAGGCATAATATACTTTTTATGGACTCTTTTAACACGGAGATGCAACTCAACAACAAAACCGTCAGACTTCCTCCCTCACATAAACATTAGTTCGCATGTGAACATCATTTAGAAGCAACCACTTGGTCCATTCACCTGGAAATACACTAATTCCCCCCCTCCAGATAAAACGTTGTAAACGTAGCTAAGGTAATAACGTTGCTATAGAACCTAGCGGCATTTAGGATTGTGTGGGTTTACAGACTAATATTTCGTAAATCCCCAAGTAAGTCATTTGCTTCATTATCAGAACAAACGAGAGCAAACAGAAGCAGTTAGCTATTAAGCCAGAAGCGCGTGGTACCAAATATCACGTTGTCTGTCCTTTTCTTTAACTTTTTTTAATGAATGGTTTAAGAGTCAGAAATCGGCAGTAGACTACAGACAGTAATCCATCTTACAGACCGTGGTTAAATTCCTAGCACACAAGAAAAGACCCAATGAACACACTAGTTTAATTTTTGTTTTACTGACTAAGGTAATATCCATTAGAGCGTTAATGTCGGACATTAATATATTTGTTTGCATGATTGCCGTTTAAGTTCTATAGTAAACACTATGTTGCACTACTATTGTATTTTATATTTATACAATCTAAAATATAATTACAATTTTTAAAAACTTCGGTGCATAAGTACAATGAAAATTAGGCCTAAACGACTATCTTAAATGAGAAAAAAACGTAAGAATTTATGAGAATTTTTTCTGTTCAAAAACAATGTTTATGAAAGAACTCTGCCAGTAACTCACACTACATAGCGTTAAATTATAGGATGTTTAATGAATAATAAATTGAAAAGAATATGAAAGGAATAGCTCGTGGTATATTTTAAGGTAAAAGCGCAACTTAAAGTCACACCATAGATGGAAGCGTACAATCCTTCTAGCAGTAAGACTGCTGTTGTTAAAAAAAATCATCTTTTATTCAAAAATCAGTGTAGAATGAAAACGAATTAGTTTTAATTAAAAATTTTATTATTCAAATTACGCATGACCCTTAATTTATATTTGATACACAGCGCAAGATCACTAACCCAAATAAAAATAATTCCAAAAGCGGAAAGCTCGTTATCGTTATAATTAAGTCATAATTCGTATCTAATCAAAAGTAGTTTACGTTCTTATAGGAAGTCACAAGGGGAAAAATTCTCTTAGCGTGAACTTATAAAATCACTAGACACCCTTATTTAGCAATAAAGACAATTAAGACGTAGCGCCTCCCCCGCCAATTTTTTCTCTTAGTTTGGAAATTGGCCTATGCCGAGAATCAAGATGTCTGCCAAAAAGGGAAACTTGACGTAGGCTATCACGATCGGGTGGGAGAGAGATCGACATTTACCAGACCTGGAGAGACGCCTCTGCAGGAACAGAATGTCGACGCCGGCGCCAATCAATGTTTCCAGAGGCGCCCGTGACGTCACAACAGTGGCGTCGGTTCGCTCCTAGAAAATCCATAACAACTCAAGCGACGCTACAGGGTTTGGCATACATGTGTGTGTTTTATATATAGGTATATACAGTACACAGACTGCAAGAAATGATAAATTGTATTATAAACATTTAGTACAGCTTCTCAGCTAAACTGGTGGTGTAAGAACAAACGTCTGCACGTAACTCGTTGGGCTATACGTTCTGGTACATCCAGCACTGAGTAGCTGTTTATCTTCGATGTTGATGTGAGATTATAAAGGAAAATGATGGTAAACTGGGAATGTGGTTCAGAATTTACATGAGATTTTCACCGTGTCCCGTAAACAAAGATGTAGTGTTTACAGTCATTTTATAATACTCTCCTCAACATACACATGCAGGAAACAGTAGGTTGCCTTGAGAAATCCGCGTAATATGCAAACAGTAACATTGTTGATCACTTCTTTACTGGACTTGTATCCAATAAACCCGAAGCGTGCAGCATTTTCAAAGTTTAACTTCATGACGCACGTCTATTCACAGGACGACAATCGCTCAACTGTGCAGGAAATTTTGCGCCCTTAAGGAAACCAGAAAATATATTGCTGTGTTTACAAGAGTCACAACTGCTCTCATCCTTAAACAGACGTATCTAGGCCACATCCATATATCATATATCTTCAAAGGTCTATTTTTACATTCTCTTCCAACCTACTTCTAGATCTCAACATCGTCTGTTATCGTCAATATCAATTGTGATCCTGTGAGTTGTGGTAGGTGGCAACCACCTACATGATTACCCACACAATCTAGAAGATATCTACATCTTTACCACCGTGAGAACCCCATATGTTTAGATATCACCTACAGAATTTCCGATTGAAATTTTATACGAATTTATTTCCCCTGTACGTGCTGATGAACTATTTACAGCCCGTAAAATATTCGTTGGTTTAATTAACCTAATATTAGGTAAAAACAGATCTATATTTTATTTATTTGTACTTTATTTAAAGGTGCCGTTAGTAGCCCAAATCATTTATGTAAAGTCCAACTATGGATGATTAGCTAATGGATTAAGTAGAAAGTAAGCGGTTGTAGTCAATTTAAGATAATTATCCCTCTATTTTCTGGACGGTCTGAGGAAAGCCAAGAAAACTCACTGCCAGATACACGGTCTCTGATCCGAGATTTTTACCCGGGACTCCCAAATACATAACATGAATTCTAACCACTTATTTGTTCAGTAACATCCAGTGATGAACAATAAAAATTACGTAGAATAAATTTTTTTGGATATTATCCATCGTCTAGTAAATATAAAACGTAAAAAACGACGTTTCGGAGATGGGATTAGCTCTATCTAGTGGGCCCAACTGAGTAGTAACCTGAAGACGAAGATAGAGTCCCATCTCCGAAACGTAATTTTTACGTTTTATATTTACTAGACGATGGATAATATCCAAAAAAAAATTTATTCAATTGACTCTTCACCATCGTCAAGAAGTTTTAGATTTAAAAATTATGTAGCTACTTATTATGTACTTTTTTACATTCTTTCCTTGCTTCCTCTCTTATAGATGCAAATATTCTATTCAGTATTCTTTTCCCAATTGGATGCATGTTCTTCGCTTCAAGTGATGGTTTAAGTTTAGGTATCAAGTTTTATTTTATTTTGGGGGGCAGAGAGAAATGGGAAAGTCCCTACGTATCCATTTCAATTCTATCCTGATCATTTACATACCCTCGTGCAGTGCAGAACTCTATACGGAGGATTCTGATTCAAAGAGTAACATAAAAGTCATTCCTTGACATCGATTTTCCATAAATCTTTTGACTAGCGCAAGAAGGAGGGAGCGTCTTCAACCACTCACCCGAAATATTGCAACTCTGTTCTGTGGGGTGAATGAGGCTTACATGTTTAAATGAGTCGGCATACTTACTTGTAACCAGATGGATTTCAGAAGTTGTCTTCAGTGGTATAATTAGGAAAACTATGTTGACAGGACATGAATATTATCGCAGGGCTTCTCCTGAAACAAGAAATATATTTGCTGTTAGTTTCTCACTGAGTCAAATGGCATGTGTTATGACGCATCAGTAAACAGAATATAGGCAAATAAGCCTATAAAGAATGCCATAGGATTATATCAGTAAATCAGCTCGGAGAAAAATTTACAAAAGTCATGTTGATGTTTTACCGTTATGCAATATGTACGAATCAAATAGGTTAAAGTAACCTAAAACCTATATTTTTCAGAATGTGTAAGGCTACATCACGAAATCTGCAATATGCCACTTTAGGAAGTCATAAACCCAAAATGGATAGACCCCGAAGATTGAAGACAACTGTCTTCTAGAATGTTCTGCCGCAGAAGTTTGCAGTTACTTTAAAATTGCTTACTGCCTCTGTCGTCAAAACGATGATAAATGCAATAATTATTTCTAAAACTTCAGTAAATTTCTACTAGGCTACATGGCGTAACATTTTAAAAGACAGACAACTTTCTAGTGAAAAACTTAAATCTCAAAAATAAAGATTATTTTCGTTATCTGAAATTAATCGGTTACTTTAATTTATCATTCCTGGACCCAGCATTGCTTTCTAATTAAACTCCTTGTTTCAATTACTTTATATTAGACGATTCATAAACCAATTAAAACTATAAACATCTCCGTCTTAAAGCATCTAACAAATTAGTCTTCATACGCCGTAAGTGTTTGGCATTGCATCTTACCGCAACAGATGTTAAAAGCAAGAATGATTGGATGTTCAGGAGTTCTCAAGCAAAGGACTAGCCCTAACGTAATTAAACTTGCTGAATATAACATTATTTTGCTTAGCACAGTGCACGCTCTACTACATCGAATTTTTATAACTTTGTAAGGTACAATGGTGTGTTTCGTATGTCTCCTACTTAACAATCAGGAATTCTGCATTTTTCCCACGGACATATTTAAGGAGATTCGTATAATGCTCAGAATAAATACCGATTATTTCCAACAGCACAGCTAGTCCATCTTTGTAATGGTGCATACGTATTGTCTTTTATTTTAGGTAATAATTTAATTTTTAAGTTTTATATAGATCAACTTCGTGCTCCAATAGCTTAACTAAAATGGAACTTATGTGTGTTTACTTCAACCTTCAACCAATTAAGATAACACACATTCATCTCGAAACTTATATTCAACTCTAAAACGTTAATTACGTTTTTATGATTCTGTATAACATGTTTTAGCAATGCAATGAAAGAAGTTTATTTCTTGTGCAAATTACTAGTGAATTTGTGTAGTGGTTGATGACATTTCTGTAAAAACATGATACAAATTACAATAACGAAAAAACCCTTAGCTTATAGCTCTAATGGATATGGTTGAGACTAAGTAGGCTTACTCTCCTTCTGGTTTTATGTTTGCTGAAATTCAATGTCGCATTCCGCATTAATCTTAGTATGAAAGTACTTCTTGAATGGCTTTTTGTTGTTGTTCTTGTTGTTGTTGAGTAAAGTGGAAAGGTGATGTGACACATTCTGTCCAACTACAAAACTTTACATATAAAACTAATAATTCCATAAATCACAGTCCTTTCGAGCAACTAACATTGGGTAGGCTAACAAAAAAATTCCCCTCTGTTTACGGAGACCACCACTGGCCCCTGTTCAAAGAAACACAAATTCAGTTTACACTCTCCTACCTTATTTCGCTAAGATCCATTTTAGCATTACCTTCAAATCTACTACTGGGTGCTCAAGATTTCCTCTTTCCTACAGGTTGTCCGATAACATTTTGTAAAAGTTTCCTTCTTCTCCCATGCGTGCTACATTCCCCATAAAATTCCATGATTCTATCTAATTATCCAAACAATATTTTATGAAAATTGTAATTATAAAGGCTGTTATTGTATATAGTCCTCCGGCCTCCTTCCAAACATTTCCCATTTTGGTCCAGAAACACCCTCAATCTATGTTCTTTTATTAATGTCACAGACCAAGTCTAACACCCACACAAAATAGCATGTAAAATTATATTTTTATATTTTAATCCTTTAGGTCAGTGTTTCATAAAAGTGGCAAGAAGACAAAATATACTAAACTGAATTGAAGAATGTATCCCTGAATTTACATTTCTATTAATTTAATTGTGAATAAAATTTAATTGCATACTGTCGTGCGCAGATATTTAAACTCTGACACATTTTACAATGATTTATTAGCTACATTTATATTGTAATTCTGCCCCGCTTTCTGATGACGAGACATGAACATACCCCATGTGTAGCAAATGTTGAACTCGTTTGCTGTCCGCCGCCGTAAAACCAATGTTAAAACAATGGCGTATGATCCTGAAATTTTGGAGAAACATGGTCTGAACCATCGAAATTTATAACGCATCACTCCAACAACAACTGTCATCAATATTTGTTTTAAAACTTTATTATTCGTGCCTGTCTTTTCTTGTGGCCCTCAGCCAGATCAAACCCGCTAACAACATTCGGGGTTTCAGTCGTAAACATTTTCTTGCCTCCTTAATACCTCTATGCGTCCTGAAAAAGCCGAAAACTCTGCCAATATGATGCCATTCGGTTTGAGGTTTATAAACGTTTCCCTTATGCATGTCTTCATATTTTAAGGTACGCGAAGAATGTCACTTTATAAGAAGACATGAATAAAATTAGTAAATGTGTCTCTTGTAGATAAAATAGTAGCTGTTTTTCTTTTACGTTTTTTCTCTGACAGTAAACGCTTTCATTTGTTAATACGGAGCTACACGCGACTAAAATAGTACGTGCACAAATCACTGCGTTCATAGTGCAGCGTTATTTGTTTTACTGTTACATGAAATAGCTATCGTAGCCTATTAAAATTAAAATTCAATGATTTTCACTGACTTGGATCCACTAAGAAAGAATTATATTCTATTCAAATAGCAATGCTATCAGATACAGAATAACTCTAAAAGCCGTCTGATGCATTTCTCTGTAAAAAAAACAAGTAGGCAATTATACCACAACGTTAACTACTTTTTCTCACGAATGTAAAGGCTTTATTCTGCATATCTACAAACAGAACCAGCTGCTGGAAACTGTCTCCGGCCAAATCCTTACGGTTCTAACAGGTGTAGTTAAAAGACAGCATAACAACACTCGGTAATAATTGTAAGACGATTCCTGATGCTTGTTCTCATTCACAACGCTTTAACCTACCCACCAAGATCCATTTAAATATTATCCTCACATCTTTCTCAAGCAGCTTCGTATGCTACGTTCTCCGCCAATTTGAATTTCACTGCTTTAACACTTTCAAATGGAACGAATTAGGACATAAATTCTCTTGCGTACTTTCTGACCTCGCCTGAAGCTCATCTAACCCTTCATATGAGGAGAGTCTCGCAGCTTGTCTGACACTACTCGTGAGCAGTGGCGTAATGAACTGAAGTTAGGCATTAGCCTGTCTTACCCAATCTTTAAGGCGCGACCAGAACAAAACAAAGCAAGAAGCTCAGTTTGAGAACGTTGTGAAGCAGGCGTTGGGACGCTAAACAAATCTTTGATATTTTGCTCCTAACAGATCTGACGCTATGCAGTATTTCTAATCTATTCTTCTATCTTTCTGGAAAAATTTCTTAAATGAAAGATGATTGGTTTTTTTCTGAACTCACACGTACGCATCAAAAATACAATAAATGTATTCAGTAATTTTTGTTATTAGAAACGAGAATAAAGTGAGTACTTTGTCTCTCTTAGTTAACTATATGTATCGTTATTTCAGTGTTTTTATTGAAGTCAGTTGTATGCTTACACACCATAGGCCAACACACTAGCAGGATTGATCAATGTAATTACCTCAGTAGGTAACTTTTTAGCTTAGTTGAATGACCAAAGGTTTGATCCTAAGCAGGAAGTTTTATAATTACTGTCTTCAGAATCCTGCCACGTGGAGTCAGGAGTCATTTGTTCGATAAAACGGCAGCCTAAGATTCAAGCTCGCCACTAGATCACAAACCCCAGACTCGCCTTGACGGAGCGTTGCTTACATTAAGCACAAAGAATGAAAGTTTCTTCTGTGAGATTTATAGTTTATCAAATGGACTTTAACTAAGTCTGTAACGCAGGGTCCTTCTTGAGAAGATAATAGTCGTTCTGGCCATCGATAAATTTTCTACGTTTTGTGAAACCCAAAGCTTCACTTCCGTGTTCACAAAAGACCTATTACATTATAATGTTTAAGGAACACGCGCGAAATCAAGTGGTCAGACTCACAACATGATAACATTGCGCCTTTTATTACGGCTTTCTACTGTTATAGGACAGATTCTTCCGTGATCTGAAGCAAATTCAAATGCAATCACGTAACTTAGTAGATCGCTGGCATTAGTAATCCTGCCATCTTTGATGTGAGATTTGACGTTTTAAAAGCGATAAAGATGTCACTGTTTGTCTTCCTGGTTGTAATGTCATGTGGACTTTTAGGTGGAACATACTGCCTTAATCTTCAACCCTAAAATGAAGCAGTATGTTCCTTCTAAACATTTATATCTTATTTTAAGTCGGCGTGGCGTTACAACCCAGAAGACTAACATCGACAAAACTCTGGTTGTAGACTACTTTAATATGCTTAATAATAGCACAAAACATGAGCCGAGATAGCTCAGTCAGTATAGTGACTAGCTAAGGGCTGGACGGCCGGGATTCGATCCCCGACGGAGGATTTTTTCCTCCAGCCTCTACGTCCAGACCGGCTCTGGGGCCCACTCAGCCTCCTCTACAATGGGTACCGGGGTCCTTTCCCGGGGCTAAAGCCGGCCGGGGCGTGATGCCGACCGCTCACCCCCATCTAGTGCCGAGGTCAATAAAAAGAGGAGCTATACCTCCACTCACCCTTAACGCCTACATGGCGTATAGTGGAACAAAATTTAATAGCACAAAATACAGTAAAATTTTAAGGTAGACCCAAATGCAATAACCTCATTTATTACATTTTTGGCAGTTGTAACTGATACAATTACAGAAAATTTTGTTCTATAAAACAGC